TATTTATCTGGACAAACTAATCATGTCTTTTTATCAAGTGTTCCCAATAATAATTATTTATCATTAATTTAGTTACTATCAAAGTTTTCAGTTGTCTCAAAAATCTTGAATATTTGGTAAGAATTTACTGTTTTTAGAACAGTACTGTAATATTTACTGTACTTAGAAATTAAGCTCTTAACACATTGATGGACAGTCACGATAAAGTACTGCTATAGCAGTACTGTAAAAACCAACTGAAAAGTGACACTACTTCTATAGCAGTGGTTTTTTCAATGGTACCATATGGAAGAGTAAGTTGTACTGCCCCATACAGTATAATGGGATATTGGGCACTGATAAAATAAGGTCGATATAATATTATTTTTCTATAATTATGATTTATAAATAGATATTGGATATTACTAGAGCGCGGATTTCTATGCAATCGCATATTTTTTCCTTTCAATATTTTTGGATTTTTGTCAGTTATCTCCACGAATCATCACAATTTGAAGCTAATGGTGAAATTTTTTTGCATATTTTTGCATATTTAGAGGTTATAGCATATTTTTACATGTTTTGGCAAAATTCAAAATTTATTGCACATTGAAGTGAAAATTTAAAAAAAAAAATGTATAAAATAATATTTTGTCTAGTAGAAAAATAAAAAATAAATTTCATAGTCACTAAATAATAATTTATATACATATTTAGTTATAAAATAAATAATCGATAACGACGTAAACTTAATCGCTCTTGCTGTGTCAGTCGATTATCAACATACCACTTGCTTCAAATATGCCCCAATAACTTTGGTTGACATCGAAGTTTCGTTTTCAGTCTTTAAAAATATGTTAACCGATAAACGACATAGCTTCACAAGAGATAAACTTGAAATGCGTATAATTATTTATTTTAATAATAAATAAAATTTTAAAAATAAATTAAGTTCAGAAAATTCCCTATATTTTTTTGTATTAAGTATTTAAGTCGACCCACTTATTCCATTTATCTCTTAATGATTCTCCCTTCTGTACTCGACACGTTGATTCTGCTATATGCAATGCTTCACATCTCCTCTTTAACTGTCCAGACCTTCTCAGCTTCTGTCCAATATCTGTTCTTCCTCTAATATTCCATTTACCTTCCCACATATTTTCCAATTTCCTAATGCATTCCTTATTACTTCCATTGTTAACTTCTTCCTCTCAGAAGGCTTTTTACTTTAATTATGTTCATTATTTAACTTTTATTTCCTAGTTGTTTTATATAGTAATTTTAATAATTTTGTATTTTTATTATAATCGCTGAGGCAAATATTTTATGCACCTCTAAATAAAAAAAAAAAAAAAGTATTTAAGCAATTAATTTTTATAAGTTGAATTATAAATTTTAAATAAATAAAAAATTCTTGCATATTTTTTGCATATTTTCATAATTTTGACTGCATATTTTTACATATTTTCATGATTTTTACTGCATATTATATGGCATATTTCAATACTTTTAAGTGCATACAAATCCGCGCTCTACATATTACCATGGTATTTCTTTTGATAATTATATTTATATTGTATCCATGATATTAATATACGTGTTATTGGTATTATAACATATATAATATAAGCTAACCAGACGATAAACAACATTATCAAGAACCTATCCCAGTACCCAAGTAACTTCAAAAGAAGCAAGTATTTTAAAAATTGCAAGCAATGTACTAAAAATAAAACATGAAAACAAACACAATTGCAGTGCAAAAAATGTAGTGTACCACTCGGTGCAGGTAAATAATTCAGAAGTTGGCATAAGGACAAAATAATAGAATAAAAAGGAAGTAAAAAAAATTTAGTATACATAGTAATATTGATAAAAAAAAGTAGCATAGGTAAGGGAACCTATATTTTTTTTTTTAACTTTCGTTATAACTTTTTGTATTGTTATAGGTATATATATTTAATACATTTATTATAATTATGTTTTTATTTGCTGTAATAAATTTTATAATCTTTAAAATTATTATCTTTTTATTAATTACTTATATATTTTCATTATTTGCACAAAATATGTGCTAGCAATAAAAAAATTATATTACTACTATAGCAGTATTATAACATTTTTGTCATACGTACATCAAAATGTGATGTATTGGGACAGTACTGCTATAGTAGTACAAAAACTTTTTTTTAGACATGCTTTATATAATTTTTGACGATCCTCGCTATCCGTCAATGTGTTAATTTAGTTATAACTACTCTAAATACTAACATAATAAGTATTTTAGTTCTTAAGAACATTTTTCATCATTTAATCCATTATTCAATAATTTATTTTTATTATTTTTATGAAAAATTGGTATGCCAATTACTGATATGTACATATTTGAAATTTTTGTTATTGGTATACGGTGCCAATTATTGAAATGTACATAAAATGTATTAATTTATTTATTGGCACTTACTTTAAAAAGTATAGAACCTAAGTAAAATTGAACTGTTATTTATAGAAATTCCAAAAAAAAGGGAGAGTATCTCCAGTCCAATTTGACTACTGCTTTTGAAGCAGTAGTCAATGAAGGTATGGTAAAGAAGCCTGCAGCAAAAATGTTTTCTGTATCAAGATCTACATTACAATACAGACCTAAAAATCCTGACCACAAAGTTTCATGTGGACCAGCTCTTGTATTATCCATATCTATATTTTATATCTTAAGACTTAAAAGAATGATAAAACATAAGACTGTTTTAATTATAACCAAATAAATATTTTAAAATTTGAAATATATTTTATTATTTCTTCTTATTATAATAAAATATTTTAACTAAATTATTAGGTGCCTACCTATATTATAATAGGTACCTGCCTATTACAGTTGTTTAGCATAATTATTATTGTTGCTAGATGTACTAATTTTAGTTTTTATAATAGGTATCTGTTTGACTCCTAACCACAATATAGTACTATATATTGTGATTAAATAAAATGTTATGATTTTTAGAATAAGTTACCTACATGAAGCATAAAGGTAGTTAAATAATAAATTATAAAATATCTTTACAACACAATTAATTAGTTCATTCAATTAGTTATTTTATCAAGAATCATAAACTGAATATGTATATTTTTTCTGCAGTTATGTGTAGTTTAAAATTGGTTTGATGCTTTTATGTGATTTTTAATTATTATTCATTATAACTAAGTAGTAACTACTATCTATTTATAAAATAGTATAAGTAGGTAGTTTTATTTATTAATTTAACCAAAATAATTGGTAAAACTATTAAATTACATATATAATTTAAGAGGATGTCAATAATAGAAATTATAAAACCAATATCACAATTTTAGATGCCAATAACTATAATTTTGGATTATTTTATACTTGATGGTAAATAAAAAAAAAGTATTTAATATTTATATAGGATTATGATCATAAGGTAAGATTGATAAAAATTTGCTTCATCATTGAAAATGATAATATAAGTTTTAACAACGTTTAAGTATGAAATATTATAGAAACAAATATAAACTTCTCTAAAGGGTGCTAATAACTGTACACTTTACCCTATTTTTTTTTTTACATTTTTAGTGCATGTGATCATATTAGACGAGTTATTATAATCATCAATATTAATTAGCAAAATTATAATGTAATATTTAAAACTAATGGTCATGTAAATTTATACTCAATAACATATTTTAATATAAGATTTTAACTCTTTAAAATATTTATAATAAAATAAAGAGATTTAATATTGAAATTTTATTTCACATGAAGTATTGTAAATATTTTATTTTAAAAGCTTAGATCAATGATCACATCAAAAACATCAAAATTTTAAGTTCTATTTAATACAACAATATTATATTATTTATAATTTCTGAATTTGTTTTAATTTAAGGTTTAATACTTAAGTGTTTATAAATAAAAATAAAAATGTTTTGGACATTTTAAACTGTAAGAATATTGAATTACATAATTCATTTTATTAATAAGAAAAATATAATATTTAACAGTCAATTTTGAATAAAATATTAGTAATACAGTATTCAAGTACTATGCTAATGTACTAACAAACAAATATATATGTATATAATACAATTCAATTCAGTACGATCTGTATTCATAATAAATAAATAAATACCACATAAGAATTAAAAGTGAAGTTATTCTTTAATAGAGAAATTTGAAAATAAACTTTGAAGCAATATTTTTATTTATAACAAACCCCACAAGTAAAATGACTAGTTTTTTTTTTTTTGAAAATGAATGACATCTTTAGTCTAGCCAGCCAAAATGTTAAGGGCCAGAACATTTTAAAAATTTTACTAATAGTTTATACATACTGTTATTTAAATATAAAATATCTTATGTATGCTAAAATAACAATTTAATTCTCAATTCTCATAAGTTTTACTTAAAAAAGGAATTAGGTACAATTTACAACAAAATATGCAGTATCATGGTTTTAACATGTTAAATTGTTTAAAAATATATACTATTTAGTTTATATTCTAATAAAAGTACAATATACAAGCAAATCTGTTCAAATATAGATTGAGTATGCATATATATTTAATTTATAATTCAAAACAGAATCGGATAAGACCAAAATAACACCCATGTTATAACTTAAGGCAAGTTCTAATCAAATTTTTATCAATGATATACTTTAGTATTAACAACAATTTATAAAAGATGTGTTACACTGTAAAATTTATTTAAAATTTACCAGAAAAATTTTTAATTCTGTAAATATGATTATTTGCTCTGAATAAAGGTTTTATCTTTAAATTTTGAAAACTAATATTATTTTCTGTAAATATTTTTTAACATAACTTCAAGAAAGAAAATTTTTAAAAAAATGAGACCATAATATAGATCATTATAACTGATAAAATATAAATATATCTTTTGAACTTGAGAGAAGATTCATAGACATGAAGTACCAAAAAATGTGTCTAGAAATTTTTACATGCAATCAGTGTGTAATAATATTATGCTGTTTATAGCTCACCTCTAAGTCACCATCCTCCCTGATGTGTTTGTGTTCATTTTCCTCATCTACTCTATAATCTTTGAGCAACTCGTACGCAGCAGCCGAGTGGTGAGTGGCCAACAGCCTGTTGGTGACGTCCACGTTTCTCAGGGCTGCTAGAGTATTGGTGCCGCCCGGGTGGAAGCGTAGGAAGTGTTCGATATTGTGCTTCTTCCCATCGTGCTTCACCACGAACGGCGTCGTGGCCATTGTCGAGGGTATGTCTTCTGTGGCGAATTTGACGATAACGGTTCTCAGGCATCCATGGTCGTCGGTGATTGCGTTTCCGCCGAAGATTCGGGTCTGCGGTCCGGTAGCGGGAAAAACCGTTAACAGCTCACTCGGCAGAGAGAGTTCGGTGAGAAAACTGAACAAAAATCAAAATACAAAAACGCAACGAAATCCTACGGCACTCGGTGGGATCCAGCATTCACGCAGCACAGAACCGGTTCGGTGGTGAAATGGACGTACGACTACGAGGAGAGACCGCGGAACAGCGTCGGCGGTCGGAGCACATCCGTTCGAACAGTTACGCACCGGGCGCGCGACACGACCAATGAAAAAGGGAATCAAATCGGTAAAAATAGTCGACGCATTATGTAACGTAATGACAACCGGCTGCGATCGTGGCTCGTACCATTTTATCTCTTATCACGGGACGCACTCACGGACCCGCCCGAAAATGTGTTGCTTTTTTTCGCTCTCTCTCCGCTCTCCCCGCGACGAGCACTATCACCCGAAATCAACACCTATGATAACGGTCCTCGGACGGTTGTCGTTTTTTTTTTTTTTTCCTTCTCCCCGTCCCTACTCCCCGCGAAAACAAAAACAACGCGTATGAATTTCAAAATCCGTTGCGCGCGCGTTCTACTATCACGTCTGGCGGCGGTGATTATTAAACGGAAATCGACGCGAACGCCGTCGGAGCGGAGAAAAACTTACGTGCGCGGTACGGCGGACGGAGCGTGGCGAAAAAAAGTCGACGACGTACACAGTCGAACGCGCACTGCGAACACGCGGCGGCCGTCAACGACGTTGTCGGGAACGGTGCGAAGCGTGTGCGTGTATTCGGTGGTTTTCTTTTTCTTTTTTCCCCGAGGCCCAAGCCACCGGTGACCGACAGGGACGCCACGATCGGTCGAACCGCTCCCGTCGCCCGGCGCAACGCCATCTACACGCGGCCGCGCGTTATAGTAACGGTCGCACGGTTGAACCGGCTGTGGGTCGTTGTTCGCCCTGGACGGGTGCGCGGTATCATCCGCTCGCTGATCGTTGCCGGACACCGAACCGTCGCCGCCGCCATCGATCATAGGCCCGGTTATCGTTTGGTGCCTCGGATTTATGCCTATAGGAATCAAACCGTGGTGGTAGGGGATGCTTAAAATATTATCTTTTCGGCCGTTCCGTTAAATAGGTGCAAGCGGAAACATGTGGGCGACGGCCAGAAACTTGTCCGAGTAGTAGCAACTCATTCGTAGTCGTTGAGTTATTCATATTATCCCATCAATTATTAAATTATTCATAATGCATGTGTTTGGTTTTTTTTATTTAGTTTATTTATTATAATACACTTCGACTATACGCTTCGAATATCGATTCTAATGGACTTGAATCGGGAGAAGTTTGTTATAAGTGGGATCTGAGACTTGTTGCATTTGCATATTCTTGAATAATGACTGTAATCTGAGTAGGTAAGATATACCTTTGTTTACAAAACGGACATAATTTTAATTGTATATTTTTGCACATTTTGCCGTTTTTTAGGCGAAATGCATATTATACAGATTTTTGCAATTTAATTGTTATTTAGAGCATATTTAATCACTTTTATATACTATGTGAAATAAATGTATTCTAAAGATTAACATTTATTTTAATTTTTTTTTTTTTTTACGTTTTTTTTTATACGTCGGTTAATACTAAATATTCAATACTTATACCGAATCATAGAATGAGTCATCGGACGTGGCAATCAAAGAAATCAGTGGCGTAACCAAGAACTTTTTATGGGGGGGGGTTCAGCAAATTTATATATTATATTTAATCTTATCACTATCATTTTAACTACTATTTGTGTTGATCTCGGTATTTTTAAGTCTGGTTGACATTAGTTTTTTTGATTGGGGAAAAAAAAAATAATTCATTTTTCTAGTCTGCTTATTTGTTAGAGAATTTGTCTATATTAATAAATAATAATAATAACAATTTAGGAACTAGGAACTAATATAGGAAAATAAATATTAGATATTAGAATATTTCTGTCCACTCACTTAGGTATACTAAAAATTAAATTTTAAAAATATTGTACCATAATGGAATGTTTAGACGTCTTAGAATGATGTCAAACTAAAATAAAACAAATATAATAGAATACAAATGTCAAATATAAACGAATAAACGAATAGTAGGTAAAACAGTGAGACACTAACGGCAGAGGCGCAATTTTAATGAAAAAACTGGGGTGCTGAAATCCTTCTATCTTTTTCATGTTCCTTAATGGATATAGACACCCGCAAATTGTACAATTCAACAGTTACTAAAATATTTGGTAAATATATGAATACTTCTAAATTTAAATTGTTTGCTTTGATTTTATATTTTTATTGTGCGTATAACGAATTACCTGTCTGTAAACACAAATGTCTTATCGCATGATCACTTTTAGATTTTGACTAAAACGAAGGATATTATGGTTTTATAATGATGTTTATATTTTATTTGTTAAACACTTTTTCGGATAGAAATACTGGTCCAAAAGTTTTTTTTAGGACCTTTTTTAGATTTTAAATTGGCATGCGGTGATACTTTAAATAGGTCATTTTTTTAAATCTTAATAGTTTTTCTAGACGTCAAAAAAAAACTGTCCTGAAATGGTAAAAATACGCTGTAAATAAGACTTTCACATTTCCAATTTTAGTTATTTAGTCATAATTCCAAAAGTAATGTGATTAGAAACTTGAAACTTTTACCCTATAGCAAAGATATTTTTTTTTTCGTATTGCGAAATATTTTCGTATTGTACTCGTATAAAAATTTATATATTTATACAAAAAACCTCAAAAACTATTATGTTTTTCTATACATAATGAGTAATGAGTATTTTAATGTAAATTAACATAAACACATTTGGGGGTGCTAAACACACCCAAGCCCCCCAAATTGCGCCTATGACCAACGGGCAACGACTAACTATTTACTAATAACTATTAATTTTACACAATAAGGTGCTTGTGTTAAATGATCCGCGAGCCGAGTATGCAATAGGTATACCCAAAATAAACTTTGAATATAGACAATAATATCGCTTTTATCTCAGTTATCGGAACCAGACGACCGATTTAGAATCAACCGTTGTAGAAAACCTGAATAATATGTTCCCAAAAAAAAATTATCAAAGTAGTAGTAAAGTATCTAAATATGATCATAATATTATGACGTGTGTATGTGTGTGCGTGTGTGTGTGTGTGTGTGTGTGTGTGTGTGTGTGTGCGCGCGTGTGCAGCGTGTGTATAATACGTTTATAGTGTGTATACAAATTATTAATATGTATAGTCAAAATTCTAAAATATAAAAATGTTACAGAAAAAACCGTGTTTCATGTAAAACTTAATTTACCATCTCAGGTTCATGGGGGGTTCTGATCCCCAACCCCCCCCCCCCGCCATGGATACGCCACTGAAAGAAATACCTAATTTTTCTGCGTATACCTCCTGATTAGTTGTAAATTAACAATAAATACTAGAAATACTATACTACTTACTATATATTATATGATAGAAAGAAGATTATGTATGAAATGGTCGCGGCAATAAACTCCTGGGGATAGTATTACCGTGATGCATAGGGAAAGACGGTAATGATTATTCAAAATACATAAATATGGTATTTATTTAGTATTTATGCATAGTACTATCTAATGTAGTAGTAATAACTATAAGTATTAGTGATTTTTGAGAATACTGATAATAGTTTAGTAAAATAAATTTGGTGGGTGGGTGTTCCTTTGAATCTTGATCTTTGAGTTTTATAAACTTAACACTTCACGGATTCATATAATCAAACTACTCAGTTTTAAACTTTTTTACACTCGTATATTCGAATACATTATAATCAGGGATCGGAAGTTAAAGCATTTGCTTATTTTTATGGATTGACTTAAAATATAGCAGAGTACTATAGAAGTATATGTCAAGTTATTACACGTACAATTATGAAATTTGAAAGTGCTTTTTTTTGCTTTTTTCAGCAATTTTTCAAAAAAAATGCTTGTTTCCAGTTTTTCTGGTTACTTGTGCTTATATGACCAATTTTTTTTTAACGTTTTTATAGTTTTTTCCTGCAAAGTTGTTTTTGATAGAATTAAAATTAAAAATAATTCTTATCTTATCTATGTTGTCACGTAGTTCGTAGCCGCCCGAGGCATCGTTGTAGGGTTAACTAAAATATTCCAACGCTGAAAATAGAAATGAGTGTCAAACGTCAGAATGATCAAGAACAGAGAGAACAGAACATTTTATTTTTCAGAAAAATCTCTTAGAAAATAGTATCCATAAAATCCTTAAGGTCTTGAAAGTGAAGATTTATTTTATTTATTTTTGATTTTTTAGTTTGAATTTTACATTTTTTTTTTTTTTTTTAGTAAATATATTTTCTTAATTTTAAATTTTTTAAATGCTTATTTTAGTGCTTATAATGATGTTTTTAAGTGCTTATTTTAATGATTTTAAGTGCTATAAGTCCCGATTCCTGATTATTATATCATAAACTACTTATGGACTAGGGCTATACATCAAATCATTACAAGTAAAAGGAACATTAAACGTTTTACTTGTGTTTTGGCCAACAACAGTAATATTTTTAATTAAGAGATAATACTTCTAATGATTTTTTATCACCACTAATTGTGCGCAAACAACATGAACGGTTGTAAAGATGTTTTAAAAGAAATTAGAGTGACTCCTATAACCTAAAATGATTCTCTGTGTTGTTTAGTCAGTACTTAAGTTATTTTTTAAAATTTTTTACAGGTACTTACATTGAAATAATTATTTTAAACAACACATATAGTCGCAATAAGTTTTTACTGCTTTTTCAAATGGATACGACCTATCTACTTATAATATATGATACCAATTAATAATATTTCAAGGGCAAAGCACATTACGTTGATGACAATATACCATCGTTGAAAAATAAATGAATAGAAAAATGAAAACATTTTCGATGTATCTATCGAATCATATATTTTCATTTTTTTATGATGTTAATTTATCAATGGCTATAATTGAGAGAATATAATTAGTCATATGACCAGCACGAAAAATATCAATAATGATTGACATTCATTATAAAACGCATCATAATTCATAATTGATTTTTATATAAAATCCGTGCAATTTTTCACAATATTCTTTACTTAAGGGTTATTTACTCAGTAGCTAAATAAAATATATATTCTGTACCTTGAAATGTACGTCTATCGAATTCATTCAATAATTATTATAAAGTACCTCAACAAATAGCTACAATATATATTATTTTTGTTGTTCCTTCGCCCTAATTAGCCACCTGGCATAGTGGTAAAATTATAGTCTACATTTTAGAGAATTGTCTCAAAACGTTAAACATTAATATAATTCATCCTTCATAGATCCGTTAGATGATTTTACCTCCCCTTTAGCTACGTATCAATACAACAAGTACTATTCGTATTGTTATTATTACAATGCATTTAAATAATTAAATGCTTCATTAAAATATTCCAGTTATTATGTATGATATTCAAAGAATGAACATTAAGAAAAATGAATCGTATTTGGCTAATGTATGGAATTCACTTTTAATATGCAACGATAATATTATTATACCACCCATTATATAAATGAAATATTTAACGTATATGCTTGTATCAGTTCTTGCCTTTTCGGTAATTATCCACCAACAGCATAAATTAATAAAATCAAACATTACATACACTCCATGTGTACTGAGTAGGTTAGGTTATAATGTGAATTGTCATTATTAAG